TTGGGATGAAGAATAGCTGAGCAAAGTGGACGAAAATTGGTACACCTAATGATAACGGATGCACATTACAGGACACAACCAAACCATCAAGCTCAGAGAACAAAACTCCATCAAAAAGTATAAACGTCACTTGAAGTTAATTTAAGTCACAATAGAAACTTGATTTTTATTTGTTTTAATTCATATGAACACATGTGATTGTGATTGTGATAAATACGATTAACAGACATTTTATTTACTGGTGATTATTTGAATTCAAACATATTGTAGTGAACGAGAACACAAGTAAGGACAATCGAATGTATTTGAATACAAAATTACAAAATCTCTTAGTAAAATCTAAGATCCATACAATGAATAGTTCATTTGCAAAATGTCAATCAGTTGTCTCAGACTTCATTCTTCTTTCGTTGCCATAGCAACCATTGACTGTTCTCGTTCTCTTTTCTTCGATCATCTTTATTGTCTACCTCCAGGTATTTCAGTTTCGATTGATGATGCATATTACCTAAATGTCTGTCGACATCAGTAACACACATCACAATATAATATACAAAATACCGATTCTCTGATATTAGATAGACAAAATAAGGAATGGTATCTCCGTTACATAACTAACCAGAAAATAATCCGAAATTGACCTTAAAATTCGTTTAACGGACTTAAGGCAATGAAAATACAAATATGTCAACTTAGTAGCCTTTAGCTAAATTTACAATAAAATTCGAAAAGATATGCAGTGTTTTTATTTGATTTTTCAGTTGTTTTTTTTTGGAGGGGATGTTTTGGTATTTGGGTTTATTCATTTGAGTACAAACTCTTTTTAATCTGAATAGTTCCTAAGATTATAGGTAGTTTACAAACGATCGTTTAAGCGAATTTTTCGATATGTAGCTGAAGGATTATTTAAGAATAATAATCAGAATGCCATATATATTATCTATCATAAAAGGTGGTTATTAAACCTTCGTGGACAAAATAGTCATCTGAAACAGTGAGTTGATAGCTCAGAATTATATTTATAACATCATTATCCACCAGAATTAAGGGATATCAAGCTAATATAATCCTACAGAATGAATAGTACATTGTAGAGTTTGCTTATAACTACCATCAAGCATTTTCTTCCAAGCATCAAATGGTGTTTTAAAAACTCAAGAAGCATCTAGCATTATAAGTACTGAATATTAACTGATAAAAATACTTTTATACATACATATAACTTAAACATTACATGATGAACGGTTGAAATCAGTTAAAAGAATTTGTACAGACTAGATAGATTACGGTTAAGGATTGAAATTCAGAATATACGTTTCATCCTATTCCGAGCTCATCAACTGATTTACCATGGTATTGATATCCAAATTGGAACTCAGACCAAGTAACTTTTGAATTGCAACAAAATTTCTACTGAGCTACTGAATCTATATAACCACCAACTTGTTAAGTAGATACAACGTTTATATAATCGTTAATAAGGATTTGAATTATCCCGTAGATGACATTCATGACTAGACCTTCATCAGTTTTCATTGCCTAATTTACACCATTAGAAAATAGCTTTCATAGGATTTTCAATATTGATAGATTGTAGCTGTTAGTAGAATTCAAGACATGTGTTTCATCCTGTTTGGCACTCGTTAGCATGCTGATAACAGCCGTACTACATACAATCAAATACTTTAGAATATCCGTTATTGAAAACATTCAACCGAAGTAGCAATTACATCTCATAACTCATAGTCTTAGCTTTAGTTTTGTTTGTATAGGCAAATTATGTTTAAAGATTTCAAGAAATTGTTAAAATCACTATTTCATTTAAATAAACTTTCATGTTACGAAATACTATCAATACAATTTCTTTTATGTTTAAGGCTGACTTAGACCAAAAAATATTGAAAGTTTATTGTTTTCGAATCATCAGTATAAGACTCCTCTGAAGTGCGCATCTACGATCCCACCTGCGAGATTTGAACCCACTGCTGATGAGTCTCATACTAAGACGAAACGGTTGTCTAGTGCTTCCAGGTTTTTCATGATGATCTAGCTTTAATTGATTCATGAATTCAACAATTACATTACTATAATATCCACAAAATCTTCTTTCTAATAGATTTGTTTAAGTGAAAACATTGGTAAAACAAACAAATATCCACAGTTTACTCATGATCGACTTAGTAGACAAAATGATGATTAAACCCCAAGCCTGTACATAGAAAACTATACGAGATGGTTGATTCAAAAATATTTGAGTATTCCTTATGTTCAGAGGACTGATGTTTATTAGGACCCAATGTACAGATGTATACTTTCAGACCAAGCAAATGATAAATATATTTATTTAGTTGTCATAAGTCGAATCATTCAGTGATAATTAGATTAAATTATGATGAAATATTCGAATTACTCTGAATTTCATTCACTGTGTTCTATTTTGTTGGATGACTGATTTATGCTAGTGTATTTTATAAGTCTGTGTAGTAATTTCGGGAACTCATAGCTTTCATTTGATTAGTCATATTAATGAATGTAAGATACTAAATCAAACAAATTGAGTAATAGATATTAATTTCAATAGTTGAATTTGTAGCGTGGCGCCAAGTCGCACTTGACTATGATCACCACTACAGGAAGGTTGCGTACCAAATATCAGAAGGCAATTGAAGGTTGTAGCTAAGTATATTTGTTGGTGATCTCGTGGTATCGAAAGAATACCGAGATCGTACCAAAGGAGTACAAGCGGATTTACTGAGTAAACCTAAGTTCGTGCAAGATCACAACCAACGGAAGGAAGAATGAAAGAATAATGGATATCTTTAGTACAGTTAAACGAACAAGTGCAGTAAAACAATCACTGGTACAATTAGTTATAATAATAATTGTTTCCTTTAAACCAATCGCGTTCTCTTGATAAAAGTAGTTCACTACAAATTCATGAGTCAATTGAAGCTAGACCACCATGGAAAACCTGGAAGCACTGGACGGCCGTTTTTTTTCTATTGTGGGACTCCTCAGCATATATATTAGGCTGAATCTATTAAGCTAGTTATCACTTACTCATTCAGTACTTGTGAAAATTAGTGGGTCTTTTCAGCTAATTAGCAAGCTGTATATTCCGGTGAATGATATGATTACCTGAAAAAGTACTATTTTGGTTTCAGAGTTATAAATCTAATAAGGGACATTTTAATTAGTTTATTGATATTCAAATGAACGCAAGTCTAGCAACAATATAAGATGATTAAATCTAAATCATTCAAAATGTCTAGATAAATTGTATTACAGATTGACTTCAACTAGAAAAACAGTACCATTGCAGTGAAGGAGAACACAGGTGAGGACAACCGAATTATACTTAGCACCACATCACATAGTTACTTGGTGAAATAGAAAAATCATATTATAATACCTAATTTGCAAAATGTTCAATAATTGTCTCGGAATTCATTGTTCTTGCATTTCTATGCTAATTGCTTTCTAGTCCCTTTATTTCTTTCTTGATCTTCCCAATCTTCTGCTGCCAGACGTTACATTCCTGACTCGCGTTATATACTACTTATGTCAATATAAGTAGCACGCACCACACCATATGGCTAAACAGCTGAAACGGAATTTCTCTGTAACGAACAATAACTATTTAGTAAGAGATAAAGTTCAGAACTAATAAGTACGTTGGATTCAGACTATTAAATTGATATTAGATCCAATCAATTTTCGTGTAGAGGCTTCAGGATATTTTTCTCTATATCATTTCATAATAACGATTCTCTGATTAGATTCATGAAGTATTCGTTGGTATAAAAACATTGTTAGGTTTAACTACATTATTAATAATCATCATACACACATAATACAAATGACCTGGAAACAAATCCGTAATCTTCTTGAGTTCACGACATCAATTTAAGTCGTTTGTTTACTAAAAAAAACAGTAAAACAATATTTACGTTCAATCAGATTATTTTGTCATTTGAGTCGAAGGTAGTTGGTATGAATGGATAAAACGGTGAGAAAGTAAAGGTCTAATGCATGTGTTAATTTTTCTCAGTATCATTTTGATTTAGCTACGTTTGTTTATTTTAATTAGCGATTACAAGTTGTTGGTAAGTAATTAAAGCTTAGTAAACATTCACTAGGAGATCTAAAAGTCCTAGATCCAACCTCTAAATGAGTCATAGGTGTTTAATTCTGGTTATTCTTATACTAGAATTAAACAGCCGTTTATTATTCTGTGATCTTCAACGGGTACTTCAGTTGATATCGACTTTACAACTTACAAATTAAATCAATATACATGATACCCTTCATGACTGAATGTTATTAGGATATGTTCAAATTAATCAGTTCAAACAGGTATATCCTATTACAACTGGATACTATTTAAATTGATATGTTGTGACGTTTATAAACTTTGGAAATAGTATTCATCTTGGACTGACTTCAGTATTTCATTACGTTAGCTATATACTTTATAACCAAACATTAGTTCACTTAATGATTTATTCAATGATGTTTTGTTTTTTTCTGAAATAGAAGTTAGTCATTTCTGTCCATCAACTACCTGAGTATTCATACTAGAAAGCATGTAACATTAACATTTTAATTGATTAAATATGTAAACTACATCTTGGACCCATTTTATAACTAATTAATAATTCATTCCTTGACATTTATACTATGACAGAAATTCATTTGCTTTTACTACTAGAGATTTTTGAAAAACTCCATTACTATAGTTTGTATCATGAACGGACATCATCTAGACCACCATTGAGAACACAGAAGCACTAGATAGGTGTTTCTTTTGAGTATAGGGCTCTTCATCATTGAGTACGAACCACCCGACTGCAAGAAATCGAACTAAAGAAGTACTGTGTCGTATGTGAATGCTTAATCTCTTGACTATTACTATTAAATCTACTACTAATTAACTCATTTACATTTGATTGACTTCATTGTTTATTCATTTTAATTTTTATGTTTTAAAATGATAATAGAAATATTAAAGTTAATAGACAAGATCTACTTGATGATTCACCATGGCCTAAACTTGATGTTAAATTTACTGTCAAAGATGAAAATGGACAATCAGTACAAACAATATTAGAGTCAACACCAATCAGATTTGAAGCTGAATTGATTGATGAATTAAGTAAGTACAAATGAACTAAATATGATATTATATATGATAAACTATTGTTAGATAATCTTATCGTTGAATTTGTATGTCAATAACTATACTACATTACTATATCATCATGGATCTATGTACTTATGCATAGATAGTCAAAGTTTTCAAGAAGGATCTTAATGTAAACATTTAAGATACTTATTCAGTTAGAAAGATCTCCGAATGGTTAACATGTTCCTTTTAAGAGACAAAATGTAAGTCGTTTTTAAAATATGACCGTTCTAATCAACAACTGAAGGCTTTTATTGGTGCTGTCATTTCATCATAGATTTTAACTTTTAATATGATTTGATCCTATTTCTAAATTGATATTATTCACTATTATTAAACTACATTCTTCATGCAGAATAAATAGTATATATTTATATTGTATTGTTGATATTCACTTCAGAGCTCGAACCCAGTACCGTTCTCTTGAAACGTTACTTAGTGGATAATATGGTGGTATTTCAAGTGAACGATACTGAGCTCCAGTCATGGAGTGAATATCACATTTGGGATGTAGTTATATCCAGTTAACAAGTTTCAAATAGGAGGGATGACATGTTCTGGATTCTACCGATAGCGAAATTCTATTTAATTTGATATCAATTTTTATTATATCAAAACAATCTACACAGGATTTAAATATGACAACTAAAAGTGATAAAATTTTAATCAAATATATTCATAACAGGATAATCTAAACTATTTACGTTTCTTTTTCTTGTGTGTGTGTTTAGTTTTTCCATTATCGTCACTTGCCCTCTTTTATCTTTGATTCTGTTTTTGTACTTTTAAGAGTTTCGATGTTTCCATATTTATATCAGGTTTTAAGATGTTTGTAACTAACATAATGACTATTTCTTTTTATATTCACCATGGACAGTATGTTTTTTTTCTTCCAGTTCATATTAATTCAAGGTGTAAACTGTAAGTAGAGATAAAGATTCTATATAATCTGTCAAGTGATTTCATAAATATATTTACTACGATAAAATTTGTTTACATAGAAAAAAGATTCTTAAAATTCTCTGTCATTCATTCAGTAAAATACACACAAATTCACTGGGTGGTGATCAATCAACTGTGATTACATCTCAGTCCTACAGAAGGTCGGTCGCGGCCCAGATAGTTCAGTGGTAACGTCTCTGACTGTGAAGCTGGATGACATAGGATCAAATCCGCCAGGGAGCACCAGTTCCCTCAAGATTACAGGTACACCTTGCTGACAAGTGCCAAGTAGCACGAAACCCGGGTCCAGGGTTTCCTGTTAACTACCTCCAACCACCATCTTACACACAAGTTCAATTTGTAACGCTATATTAACACAATAAGATCAAATTATTAAGATAAATTCCCCTTTAGTTGGAGTTATCACAGTGTCAGTAGTAATAAACAAAAAGTTAGGGATGATAAATATGATTCGAGAAGAAAATACAGATTCCTGGAATAGGAAAAAAACGTTGAGATAGAAACTTGGGATCTTAAGCAGCGCTAAGAATTATTTGACTTAAGTCGTCGTGAATGATTTTGGGTAATATAACTCAAAGCTTCGAACGAGGCAGATTCTACCTGTTGATATTTAATTGTTATTGGCATCATGAACTGGTATGATATCTTGGCTTGGGCATTCCTAGCTTTCTGGTAGCCTATTCCAACATTAGACAACATCGCCCGTCGACTTCAATATTACTTATTTCTACAAGTACTGAGAATGAGAATGTTATGATTTGTTTGTTTATTGATATTGAATTAGAAAACTCGCATATCTCTGGCTTCACTGAAATCTCTTCAAATGAATAAACTGGCAAAATAAATATTTGATTAGTTATTCAGAAGGTATCTGATAGGATAAAATGATTATCAATAGAAACCAGATCAATTCAGACTTCATCTCAGTTCTGAAACAGAATAGAGAATAATGTACAAAGTACTAACAATTTTAAAATTATTTTTGATGTACATTATTGTCAATCTAGTTCCTTAGGAGAATTATGCTTCAATTAAAAACAGTCAGCTAGTTTTCAAGACTGTTGTTATATTCACAGTATTTGAGGATTTTTTTTAATGACCTGCACTATTTTTAATGTGTACTACTGTGGTGCGTGCTAATTATATTGATATAAGTAGTATACGACGCGAGTGAAAAACTTAATGCCTGGCAGCAGAAGATGGGGGAAGATCAAGAAAGGAAGAGCGGGAACACAATGCAATTTGTAGGAAAACGCATGAACAATGAAATGTGAAACAATGGATTGATGTTTGCAACAGGAACAGTCCGGTTTGATATGATGAATTGATATTTTGTAGATTAACGATTTACTACATGGTGTTTCTATTTACCGAGTAACTCTGTAATTTTGTGCTAAATACATTCGGTTGTCCCCACCCGTGTTCTGTTCACTACACTATAATTCCACAACGAAAGACATATCCTGATTTCAAATTCTACTCCCAATCCCAATATATAATTGAACTTCATAGAATTGTTCTTCTGATATTTCAATAAAAAGTACAGAGATGAAGTTTGAAAAAAAAATTAGATTTCATCAACTGCAAACAACCTCACAATTATTGAATATCAGAGAGTAATGAACAGTTATTTCAATATATTACAGAATTCGTTAGTAGTGGGCGATTCAACTGGAGATCGAACTCAAAAGAGAGGAACAAGTTTGAAACTTAAATATTTATCTTTCCAGCTTCCGTTACTAAATAACATGATCTATTCATTCTACTTGAGTCATATTTTGACCTTGTTGATTAATCGCTTATCAATCTTGACTGTTTTTCTATGAGCGCATATATGTGTGTACATTTCTTATCTTATTCATCATATGTCTGTAATTTATTTTTATGTGACTATAAATATCGATTAACTCTTGACTAAACGGAGTTGGCTTACCCGCCATCTCCACTGTGCGTCGTTTCGATTCTCTCTATTCCATTCGCTTCATATACAAAATATATTCAATGTATTCAAAAGTCCATTCTCGTTATTTGACTTATTTAATTCCATTATTGACTAACGCGATTTAAGTCGATGATTATATACGAGGATAGGCAATCTATATATTTCGACAGCAATAATTCAATAACAATCATACATACGATCTACTTGGAGTCAGATCCCGGGCTACTAAAGTGGAGGACCCGTCGACAACATCGTACAATCTAACTGATGTCAAAATAAAGAGTTCCACTAAAGGCTAATTCTCAAAATACAAATCTTATCATTTTAAAACTCATTCCACTGTGACAGTATTGTCCAAATCGATCATGCGAATTACGTTTGCCTTACTTTCTAAGCTATTTCATATAAGTTGGTCTATATATATATTTTTTTCTTTAATATGTAACTTTTAGTGTATACCTTGAAGTTCAGTTTGCTTTATTTTTTCCATGTTACCGTATACATGTCATCTAGGCGACCAAACAAATATCAAAAATACAACAGATTACTGACTGATAATAATAATAATAATTGTCATAGAGATTGTTAATGTCTTTTTTTCCTGGAGATTTCTTCTCAATAATACCGCTAACTTTTTAAGTATTCAAATGTAAGGGAGAAAATTGTTGAAAGAAACTTTCTTTATATAAATATTACAAGATATTCTTAAGAAAATATAACTGTACGAAAACGTTTACATCAGTGCAGAGAATATGATTCATGAAATAGTCAAATGAAACTTTCATAGTTAGTAACCAGTTAGCAATAGATTGAAAACATTTTCTGACAATTTCCTGGTAATTAGTACAGGATTGAAATCATGAGTCAGCTGAAGCTAGACCACCACTGAAAACCTGGAAGCACTGGACGGCCGTTTCGTCCTGGTATGGGACTCCTCAGCAGTTCGCATCCACGATCCCGCACCACGCGGGGCTCAAACCCAGGACCTACTGGCTTCGCGCGTGAGCACTTAACCATTAGACCCCTGAGCCGGCATCCAACGGTGTTAATGTCTAACCTCAACCAACCCACGAAGTTGCGCCACTGCTGAGAAATCCCATACTTGAACGAAACGGCCGTCCAGTGCTTCCAGGTTTTCATTGGTGGTCTAGCTTCAACTGACTCATGATTTCAATCTGTGAAAATTTCTAAAATTCTCCACAAACCCCTTCTGATAATTAGTACAAGAGTTGGTCAGGATAGTTTATATTAGTTCAATTGATTGAAGTTAGACATTTAAACTACATTGTGGTTACTCAGTAGTTTGATGGTTAAACACCAGATACGAGATCTGAATGTTCCGATTTTATCTCTGGCAGTTAATTTATTGTTTGACTTGTAACATGTGTATCCTGTTAATCTATACGCAATGATACTGCCAATTAGAGAGCAATGAACTATCGATCGGATCAACGACGCATAAAATCCGTGAGAACAGTCTAGAGCCCCTATCGGCCCTGCTTCATGCCTAGCCCAGGCAGTTAAATTCGGAACACCAATCTCAGCCTCTGTAATATGTATCATGTATTTCAAACATACTGGTTTTATATACCAACCAGACAGACCACATCGCACCATAAAATAGGAAACAACATTTGTACAAGATATAGTCAAATGTGGCTGTGAATGTAGGAGGTAGTAATTAATAGACAAGGCATAATTCAATAATGGTAAATCGTATAATAATAATTCATAGGTCAAAATAAAGCTCATAATGAGAGGGACATGAATATGAACAATTTAGTCATTTGATAATCATACGATAAAAATCTACGCATAGTATTGGTCCATAAATGGATCCCAAAAGCTACCATTAATTATGCTTATCGAGTCATAACATTTATATACATCATTTGGGTAATCCTATATTAAGACGAAATATCTAACCAATGACATTTCTAATTTCTGGTAATTTTCTAGATGGAATCATTCAACGATTTACACTTCAAAATTTTGAATCATGTTTTTCTATACAAACTGGGATTACAGAACTAACTGTTGAAGTTTGTTAGACTGAACTTCTTTAATGTTCCATTAGGTATTCTCACCATTTTACTATCAAGAGAGCGTACTTATAGTCTGTCTCTTACTTTAGGAGTTAATTTCCAGGTGATAATTGTTGATAGTCTTTAGAATATGATGAGATCACATTTATTATCCATGCACATTTTATACAAGATCAAGCTGTAAATAAGTGATTTTAATAGAATTTTTTGCTAAGTAAACCATACTACATTATTAATGAATTCGATTCAAAGACATATCGTCATTGAACCATCCACAGTGAAAAGTTATCTACACGAGGCTAGAGATGGATAGAATAAAGCTATTTGAAATAATTCGCAAATAGTATTAGAAGGCTGAAAACTAACTTTTTTGTCTAAAGCTGTGTCGGCGGTTAAATGCCGTCTACCTTAATAACAGAAATGAAGTGCAATTAATCTTCCTTTTTAAGTCCTTCAGTGAAATCACGTTGAACTAATTTTCACGAATTAACTTCATGTTTTTCTTAATGAATCGTTATCAGCTTATTTCCAATATTCTAAAAGTATTATTTCAATTACAATAGTTTTTTGTCAACCATGATTACAAATTCCATTGTCATCAAAAAACAATGGAAGATGATCGCATAACATTGTAGATTGATTGGAATTAAACAAATGCCTCATTGAATGCCGGCTCATTGGTCAAGAGTTAAAGCGTTAGTGCACGATATCGAAGGCCCTAAGGTTGATTTTCGCGTGCAGGCTCGTGGGTGGAGACTGCAAAATAGTTTTGTTATAACGCTCGGTCTTACTTAGTCTAATGTTATAACGGTTGGGTTTACACGTTTACACGTATGAGATATTAATTTACCTTAGACGAATATCTACACTAGATTCCCTCCCAGTGTCTATTCTACAGGACTTCAACACAACTCAGATTAAGAACACTTGATTAGCCTGACTAGAACGTAAATATATTTCCACACCAAAACCCGACACAATCCAACAACAATGAACAATCAACAATAAATATTATAAGGATAGGGGAATATATAACTCATTTGACACCTGTCAGACTATCTATATGTTTGACTAAGCAGACAACTAATCATTATCATTCTCGCACACACATCAAGTTTCATACTAGAACGAAACGGTTGTCCAGTGTTTCCAGGTTTTCAGTGGTGGTCTAACATTGGTTTGTTCATAACTGTTATGAAATTAGTTATTTTCTAATGAACACTTCATTTCTTTAATTTTATAAGAATGTTAATAATTAAATGCAAAATTGATAGTTGGTTTAAACAGCTAGTCCATGCTGCACAATTTAGCGATTGTTCGGATTAAGTACCTCAATAAATAACCCTTTAGATATTTAAAATGAAAGGTACTGAATTTGAGTCACATGGTCAATCTATCTGACAAGCTCCAAATAGTATGAAATGAGGTTTTGGAATTTCATACCTATCCACTATTTAAACTTATGTAAAAGTAATTGTTTTCGCTCAATTTAAATTTATGTAAGAAGTCTATTGCATGAAAAGGATCAGTTCTCATGATCTTGGAGAGTAATCATAAGGACTTTTTAAATGAATAAATGCCTTAAAATGAAGGTGTTTTAATGAAAGAAATGTTTGTTTCTGATCATCTTAGATCCATTTTAAAATTTGATGACTTGATATAAATGAATGTTATTATTTTTAACAGTCGTTCATTAATCATCAGTTTAGAATAGTTCTGTAGTTGAAAGAAGTTGACCGAACACCATTCATTCCAATGGTTTGTCTGTAGTTTCAATGATATTTATAAAATGTTTTAACACTAAAGTATGAGTGTCTTAAAATACTCTAATTAACTAAACTATTTGTTTTTGTTATGGAAACTTGAATTTACTAATTGTAAACTAGACAGTATGATTGATGAATGTGGATAATCATGATCTGGACAACTAGTCACTATTAGCTGAATGATACTTGATTAATTAAGAAGTTATGTGTATGAAAATTTTTGGCTGAAAAAGACAAACAAACAAAATCCCTATTTCAATAGTTTAGATCATGAGTCAATTGAAGCTAGACCGCCGTGAAAAACCTGGAAGCACTGGATGGCTGTTTCGTCCTATTGTAAGACTCCTCAGCAGTCTAGTGCTTCTAGATTTTCCATGATGGTCTAGCTTTAATTGACTCATGATTTCAACCATTGAAATTACTATAATATCCACAAAAATCCTTCTGATAAAAATCCCTATTTGTTAAAAACCTTATCAAACTATATAAATGTTATGTAATGCAGAATAAATCATACAACTAAAAGACCATTTCGCTATTGTTAGAACTACTCTTTCCTATCTAAACAATATTGAACCCTAAAAATGTTCTTTTATTTTACTGTATTTGATACTATTGTATATTATATTACATAAGATCATCATTGTGAACCGATTAACCTTATTTATTAATATATTGGTTAACTTCAATTGTTTATTTTGTCTAATAATTAGAACTGAATATTTATTTTATATCCACCATTTAATTTTATAGATGTTTACAAAGCTATTACTGTTGAAGAATGTTATATGATAGACAGGATAAAATCTGGTCAAAGAAATGAAGATTCAAAGGAAACTCTTTTATTATACAAAGGGTATGTAAACCGGCATATATATATATATATATATATATATATTTGTCCGTATATAAAAAGACAAAGAGATATGTAGAGATATAAATGTGACATTGCTAGTTGACAATCTCTAAGTGTTTCACATCAATAGTATATATATTTATATATCAAAATAGAGTCAAATGAAAAGTTTTCATACAATAATATCCGGATAGGTGTTAGGTGTATTATTTGTAAAACTCGTGAACTGATTAAATATGTATATTCTTATATACAACAGAAGGATAATGAGTGTTGTTTAGGTTGTGAATGTGTAATTGATGTTCTTAGACGAATTGGTTTATGGAAAATCGATGTATATTTATTTATAGTAAATTAATGATAGAATACGACAGAATTCGACTGCATGAATCAATTGATATGACAGAGTGAACGGTTAGTAAATTGTTAGTATTCTTTTCTAGGAAAATATTACTAGTAAAAGCTAAGCAATAAACATAAATTAGATACAATTTTCTTGTTGCATGGCATTTAAACCGATCGGATCTACCAAATCATACGTAAAATCTCAATTGTTCACATAGAGATTGACTAAACAGGACAACTAACTTGGATACAAGGACAAATGGATTTAACAACACTTTTAAGAACAAATAATCATGAATCAGGCCAGGCATGGTTTCATTGTTATTTGTTTAAGCCTGTAATGCACTGAGTTACTGTATATTGGTTTCAGTTTTTTGGGATCTGGCTATCAAGCTTAATTCATTCTGATCACATAAAGATTAATGAAATTTTGCTACATAGGCATGCTTTTCGAATAATTGACAGTTGTGTACTAGTCACAAGTTCACTGAACAAATCTAAGATCTTTGAACCTTTGACAATAATGTGTGAATGACACCGTTAATAAGAAGCAGTTTTACTCTTGAATTCAGGAGTCTTTTCGCATTAATGAAAAGTATGCTACATCCTTTACATGATTAAGGCAGAATATGATATATAACTAACGGTACTCGAACGTGTAGAACCCCACATTCACAAATCAGACGATGGAAGAAGCAAGGGAAGTGATTATTGGGTAGGGATTAGAAACGTGCAGAAAAAAATTGTTGTTCATAGTTATTAGCATTGGCTGTAACATCATTATGATTCAGCCAATCAGCAAGGAGGCAAGTTATACTATTGCCCAAACGTAGCACGACACTTTGATATTCTAGAAGGCTCTGCCAGGAATGAAATTTCTTCGGCTTCTTTAGAGCATCTGGAGGCTCCATTATACTTCTTTAAGTCGTATCAACAAAGTTTGACGAAAGTATACCATATCTCTGTTCTCAGAGCTTCGTTAAATAATTTCTCTTCATAACTAAATCAATCTTCCACGTTATTTTCCCCTATTTGTTCTCTGAACTACTAGTGCATTTTAATATTGAGCTTACACTTTACAAAGCCGAATTCCTTCGGAAGTTACGAGGCCGATGCCCCTTCTGACAACCAGAGCAACCATTTATTTAGGTACATGGAATGTTCGTACAATGTGGGACACCGGAAGAGCCTTCCAAATTGCTGCAGAAATGAGAAGATACAACCTAGAGGTACTTGGGATCAGTGAAACACATTGGACACAAGTTGGACAACAACGACTAACTACAGGAGAGCTCCTGTTATACTCCGGCCACGAAGAAGAAAATGCACCACATACACAAGGAGTTGCATTGATGCTGTCCAAACAAGCGCAAAATGCACTTATAGGATGGGAATCTCATGGACCAAGGATCATCAAAGCCTCCTTCAAAACAAAGAAAGAGGGGATTTCAATGAACATCATCCAATGCTATGAAGACATCATGGGACGACACGGACTGGGAGAAAGAAACGAAAATGGTGAGAGATTTGCAAACCTATGTGCCTTCAATAAGCTGGTCATAGGCGGCACCATATTCCCACATAAACGCATACACAAAACCACATGGACTTCACCGGATCACTCTACACAAAACCAAATCGACCATATTTGCATCAACAAAACGTTCAGGAGGACTGTAGAGGACGTGAGAACCAAGAGAGGAGCTGATATAGCATCAGATCATCACTTACTGGTCGCCAAGATGAAATTGAAACTCAAGAAGCACTGGACAACGGGGCAGACAGTATCACAAAAGTTCAATACGGCCTTTCTCCAGGATACTAACAAACTCAACAAATTCAAGATAGTCCTCAGCAACAAGTTCCAGGCCTTTCATGATCTACTCAATGGAGAAGGAACTACTGTGGAGAGCAACTGGAAGGGGATCAAAGAGGCAATCACTTCAACATGTCATGAGGTCCTGGGTCACAAGAAGCACCACCACAAGGAATGGATCACTGTTGATACACTGGATAAGATTCAAGAAAGAAAAAACAAGAAGGCAGCGATCAATACCAGCCGAACAAAAGCAGAAAAAGCTAAGGCACAAGCTGAATACACGGAAATAAACAAACAAGTGAAGAGGAGTATCAGAACCGACAAACGTAAATATGTGGAAGATTTAGCAACGACGGCGGAAAAGGCTTCAAGAGAAGGAAACATGAGACAATTGTATGACACGACAAAGAAACTCTCTGGAAATCGCCGCAAAGCAGAACGACCAGTGAAAAGCAAGGAAGGCAAGGTAATCACCCACATTGAAGAGCAACAAAACAGGTGGATAGAACACTTCAAAGAACTCTTGAATCGACCAGCGCCACTGAACCCACCCAACATCGAAGCAGCACCCACGGACCTCCCAATCAATGTTGGCCCACCAACAATTGAAGAAATCAGCATGGCCATCAGACAAATCAAGAGTGGCAAAGCAGCAGGACCGGACAACATCCCAGCAGAGGCACTAAAAGCAGACGTAGCGGCAACTGCAAGGATACTCCACATTCTCTTCAATAAGATTTGGGATGAGGAACAAGTACCAACAGACTGGAAAGAAGGACTTCTAATCAAAATACCGAAGAAAGGCGATCTCAGCAAGTGTGATAACTACAGAGGCATCACTCTTCTCTCAATACCGGGAAAAGTCTTCAACAGGGTATTGTTAAACAGGATGAAGGACTGTGTAGACGCCCAACTTCGAGACCAACAGGCAGGATTCCGTAAGGATAGATCGTGTACAGACCAAATCGCAACTCTACGGATAATTGTGGAACAATCAATTGAATGGAATTCATCACTCTACATCAACTTCATTGACTACGAAAAGGCATTTGACAGCGTGGACAGAACAACACTATGGAAACCTCTTCGACACTACGGCGTGCCCCAGAAGATAGTCAATATCATACAGAACTCATATGATGGATTACACTGCAAAATCGTGCATGGAGGACAGTTGAGAAAGTCGTTCAAAGTGAAGACCGGTGTTAGGCAAGGTTGCTTACTCTCACCGTTTCTCTTTCTCCTGGTGATCGACTGGATCATGAAGACGTCAACGTCTGAAGGGAAGCACGGGATACAATGGACATCTAAGATGCAGTTGAATGATCTAGACTTCGCAGACGATCTGGCCCTTTTATCCCACACGCAACAACAGATGCAGGAGAAGACAAACAGCGTGGCAGCAGCCTCAGCAGCAGTAGGTCTCAACATACACAAAGGGAAAAGCAGGATTCTCCGATACAACACAGCATGCACCAATCCAATCACAATTGATGGAGAAGATTTGGAAGATGTAAAAACCTTTACGTATTTGGGCAGCATCATTGATGAACAGGGTGGATCTGATGCAGATGTGAAAGCACGGATCGGCAAAGCAAGAGCAGCATATTTACAACTGAAGAACATCTGGAGCTCAAAGCAGCTGTCAACCAACACCAAGGTCAGGATTTTCAATACAAATGTCAAGACAGTTCTACTGTATGGGGCAGAAACTTGGAGAACTACAAAAGCCATCATCCAGAAAATACAGGTGTTTATTAACAATTGTCTACGCAAAATACTTCAGATCCATTGGCCGGACACTATTAGCAACAACGTACTGTGGGAGAGAACAAACCAGATCCCAGTGGAGGAAGAAATCAGGAATAAGTGATGGAAGTGGATAGGACACACATTGAGGAAAGCACCCAACTGCGTCACAAGACAAGCCCTCACATGGAATCCTGAAGGTCAAAGGAAAAGAGGAAGACCAAAGAACACATTACGCCGAGAACTGGAGATAGACATGAGAAAAATGAACAAGAATTGGATGGAACTAGAAAAGAAGGCCCAGGATAGAGTGGGTTGGAGAATGCTGGTCAGCGGCCTATGCTCCATTGGGAGTAACAGGCGTAAGTAAGTACACTTTACAAGCCAATAGAGATCTAGATAGTATATCTTGGTTTTCTGACTGGAATTCCACTACTGAAGTTAACTATCATACGCTTAATAAATGTCCTTATCATATAATTTTTCAACTATTTAAAAAAGGATTTCTTGTGTTCAGAATTCGTCTAATACGTCATCACTGAGTGAAACTAACGCAAATCCAAATACATGAATTGATTTGATCTGTTGAGTTGTTTATGAGTTTTTTTCTTTGTTTTTGTTGGGTTTTTTTTACTGTTTTTGTGACTTTAAGGCCAGCTAGTTATCACTTGATTTATTCGCCAATCGAAATACGACTTATTCAATCTTAGTACTATGCTAAACCAATATCGTTCGACCAGTATAAGCAGCATAGCGTCCTTATTGGTCCTTTGTTCGCCTAGCCCTACCCGTTGGGTTCAGAACACTGATAACAGCTTCCACTATGCGAATCATTTATTTCAAACATACTTAGTTTATATACCAGCCAAATAGATCACATTACATTATAAATTAGGAAATAACATTCATACAAGATCAAGTCATAATGTGGTTATGAACGTGCGAGACTGTAATCAATAAACTGAACATAATTTAAGAACAGTAAATCGTAATAATAATAATCTATAGGTCAAAATGAAGCTTACAATAAGAGGAATATATATATATATATATATATATATATATATATATTATTAGTCCACTAATAGTTCTCAGAAGTTGCATACAATTAGTTCCCTTTATGAACTTAAATAGAGCCAGAACATATATTGATGCAGAATCGTGTGCTGTTAAGGGTATGAGGGCTGATATCACTTACCAGCTGCCCACACCGTGGAAGGGTATTTCTTGAGGAACCTGAAAAGGAAATTGGATTAGTGTTGGTCTTAAAGACCTGGGAGCGTGACCGCAGAGCCCAAGGGACAACTGCTTGAGGCCGGTCGCGCACGGCTTTTTCGTGGAAGGTTTTTAATGTGTTAGCTCCGTTCTTCAAAGGGCCTTATCGCCGGAGACGGAAATCCGTGAGGTAAGGTGAGGTGTGCATTTTTAGGGTCGACCTTTTCTAGCCCCACCCCTCCTTGTGGGAAGGCAGCATCGCTGCAGATGCTGGTTGTCCGAGGGAAACACCTTGCTGCTGCCACACCCCTCTGCAGTACGACTTCGCCCTCAGACCTTGAGTTGCTGCTTTTAGTCTTACTGTTCTCCAATCGACCTGCCTGGCATGGTAGAACCTACAGGAACATATGTTCCAGCCAATATATCTCGGTTGGGTCATCACGATAGGCAAGCCCGACCACCGCGTCAAGGTAGCAGTTTCGGTCGGGATTGATGCAGAATAATATGAATTCATTATATATTGTGGTTTCTCATCCGCTGTTTCCGACCAAATGTGTTAGGATTTTAAACAGAGGTAAGAAATAGTATGAAACAATTGACATAAGTGAATGTAAAGAATTGGAATGACAAAGGTTATCAACAATAGAATGGAGTTCAGAGACAGATAATATAAAGTGTGTGATAATTTTAGAGGTAATGAAGGGTTTACATAAGATTCATGGAATTAAAAACCTATAAGATGGGTTACGTAATAACTGAGTAGAATTTGAAGAGTCCACATAATTTAAGAGAATTAAATGGATTGAAATGTATAAGTGAATGGGTGGTTTAAGAATTCGGTAATGGAAGAGAAATTTAACACAAACTAAACATTAACAAAAAAAACTAATGACCAAATAAATACTCGTAATTTAATCTTCGCTACTTACTTACTTACGCCTGTTACTCCTCGTAGACGAACATCGGCCACCTACCACCACTCTCCATCCAACCTTGTTCTGGCCAATCCTTTCCAACTCTTTCCAGTTCTTATTCATCCTTTTCATATCTTCTTCTATTACCCGACATAATATGTTCTTTGATCTTCCTCTTTAGGTCATGTCTCATATAACAACTATTACATAATAATATCTCTTATCACTATTTATTTATTTATTTTTCATTCCTTTTTGTTTTTTGTTTTGTTTAAATGTTTCCTATCATCATTCATTCAAGTTGTCCAATGTTCAAATCAAATTTAAACAATCAATCAATAATTGGATTTAATTTTCAAATGAATCAATATGACAATGAAAAAGTATTCATATTTCAACCGAATAATCATAATAATTTATATCAATTACAAACTAGTTTATTTCATCTTTATTTAAATAAACAATCAATAATTGATTTAGATATAACACAATCAATCAATAAAACAATCAAAATGATAAAACCAAATATGGAAAAAATCAATAAAAATATTACAATGATTAATAATAAATCAATGAAATTAATAAATAAACCAATGAATTTATTGGATGATATATATAAAGAAAAATTAAATGAAATTGGATATAGAATACATGAATTAAAATTTACTTGTATATTTCGTATATGTAAACAATTAGCATGGTGTTCATGGGTAAGTTTGATTATGAGTGAGGTTGTTTTGCTTTTTTTAATGTCTGTATGTCTATTAGATCTATGAAATTAGAAGATATACATAAGTTGTAAGTAATTAGCCTTAGAAATACTACTCGCAACTGTGGGGATCATTGAGTAAGTAATAAACGTAGGGTAGACGTAGGGTGGTAAATCAGTCGGTGAAGTTGCGAATCTTTATCGACTGACATGGTTCAGTCACGTGCTAAATATACCTGAACACCGATTATCACGACGTGTAATGCTAACTAGTGTTGAGGATGGTTAGAAGAAAGTTTTTTGGGGGGGGGAAATCAAAATGTGGCATCAGTCATTGAAGTCACTAACTTCTAGTCTAAACCATATTGGTAGATGCAGACTACTTGGTTGACTATCGTAATCAATGGTTGGAGACTCTGTGTGACATGGTTCAGAATCTATCACAATGGTGTCGGTATATACACTCTCTGTCTTCCCTTAAACTGTGAGGTGGAAATTACACTATACTTTACCTTCAACGAACTAATTCTTTCTTCCTTTTATATATTACCACCATTGAATTAACTGCCTCTATGAATTCGATGTCATACTTGTGACTTTTTAGCTGAATGTACCTAGATTACATTGTTGATATTCATTCCGTGACTCAAACTCGGTGGCTATCGCTTTAAATCCCAATTCATAAATCTTTTAGCTACTTAGTCAAAATAAACACTGACTAGTCCAATAAAAAATGAATTCGAATTCAGTGATCAGTTGCAATATGATCATAGTAGCTAACACTGAGCTTTAGTTTAGGGTTCAAAAATAACACTGAAATACAATTACATACATATCATAAATTACACACATGACAAAAAAGCATATATCCTGGATTTCATTGTTAAACCCTATTTAGAAATAAAACGAAATAGTTTATTCAATTGATGATAAGGTAACCAAATACCTTCTGATATTAATTAACATATGCTCACTAGCGACTGGTTTCAAGAGGTTTTTCCTCAAGTTCTAGTAAGAAGCAGTGATCAGTGACGTTCAATCGGGTCTGTTGTGAGATAGTAACTAAATGAAGACAATGGTAGATGTGTCGCTTAATTTCATGGATTAGTTGAAGTTAGACATTAACATCATTGGATGCCGGCCAGTTCAATGGTCTAGTGATTAAGTGTTCGCGTACGAGATTGATCGTTCCTGTGTACGAATCTCGCAAGGTGGGATAGTGGATGCGCACTGTTCAGGAGTTGGTCGTCCAATACTTCAACTTTTGATAATAAAAGTATGACTAAAATCTTTACATTTATGTAAAGATTTTATGGATTTACGGCGGAATTTTTAAAAATAATAGTTGATATCAACAATTAGGATTAATTTATGAAAGTTAGTCCTAATACAATCTGAATTTTGATAAACTCCAAGGATTTATTTAAATTTATTGTGTGTGTGTGAGTGTGCGCGGGCGCGTTTTCTTTCTGTTGTAATAAAACACAGTATCTGAGTGTTTCATTAATTAAAAATGATAATAAATGACAGTATATAAATATATAGAAAGGGAGAAAGAGAGCAAGAGGTGGGGGGTGGGATTCGAATAAGTTTATATCATTATTTATTAAGTTGTTTATTTATTTATTTAGGCATGTCTATACTCTGTATACTAATTTAAATTAATGTATACCCAAAAGTATTATCTCTATATACATATATCTGGGGGGGATGTTATTAAACAATAATTAACTTACTAATACTACTATCATCATTCTTAGTTTAGAAAACTTTATGTCACGTAATAATAATTATCAATGAAACTACGGAAAATGATCTAAAATGTGATCTGTATCTATCTGTCTGTGTCTGTATACTATGTGTGTGTTTGTGTGTGATTTGTGATCTGTGATCAAGAGTACTTTGTTGTTAACTGAGAATGTGGTTGATTTGAAAAACGAAACAAAAAAATTGTATTTATTTATGTATTCAACTATGTATATTTTTTTAAAAAAATTTTCTCATGTTCTAATATGATAGAGAAAATTAATTAAACATGAAATATATATGACTGGAAGAACAAAACCAACCAACCAAACAAACAAACAAACAGATAAATAAATAAACAACTGATCAAATTCATTTCATAGATCAGTACTCAAACGGCATATCAACAAGATTTGGCTAATAACTATACATAACATATACGAATATTCGTCAAGATTAGAACGAATAGTTTGACAGTAATTGAGCGCCGAGTATAGAGAAGTCATTATATGTGAAAATTATATTTCAAATATTCTCAGCGATTGAAATATAACTAATTCCAACGTTTCGTCCAGCTAACTTGTCTGGACGAAACGTTGGAATTAGTTATATTTCAATCGCTGAGAATATTTCAAATATAATTTTCATATATACATAACATAATTATCATGTCATTAGAAATAAAGAATAAATCTTTTTTACTATCTGAGTTTGTATTTGTCCATATTTACTATGGAGAACCTTCAATAATTAGAATTGTATAACAATTCAAGTCACTATTTCTTTTTTCTTATTTCATCAGCTCATATGAAATTAATGATAATGAAGAACTGAGTTGAGTCTAGTCTCCATGATAGATGTTCATTTATTATGTTACTTAATAAACAAATCATCTTGTTTGAATTTTGATATTTTGCAAGAGAGATTTAACGTAACATTGTAGTTAGTAGACTGATTAATGGATATAAGGTTAATGAATAATGTCTATACATATTAGAAAACATAAATGAATAATATATTTGTAATATTCTAAAATTAGATTTTCTGACGTTTCGTGATTCAGTGTAAGCCACTTCTTCAGAGAACAATGAACCAAATCAAAATTAATATAAGTTCAGATCGTATAACGGAACAACAAGAATCTAATTAGGATATTACAAACATATTATTTATCTATGTCAATCTATCCAATGCTCAATTTATTCAAAATGATCAAGTCAAACCTTGGTAACGACACATGTTAGGAAAGTTATTTATTTTACTATGCTATTGGAATTTCAAGAAATCAGAAGTCATTTTTCTTGTATAAGTTCCCTAGTTAGATATTTTTGGATGGATGTCGAAGTTTCGACATTCTCATTAAGATCTATTTATTATACAATGATCACGAGAGCTTTAAACTTAAAAGGATTTCTATGATAGAATAATTAAAGATTGAAGATGTAGAATTTAATCATTCAATTCATGAGCTGATCATACCTAGACCACCATTGGAAAACTGGAAGCACTAGAAGGCTGTTTTGTCCTAGTATGAAACTCATCAGCAGTGCGCATTCACGGTCCGGTACGCATGTCTCGAATCCAGGACCCTCTGTGCCGCGCGTGTAACCTTAAACTATGGACCATTGAGGCACTGTCCATCTGTGTTAATGTCTTACTTCAACCAGTCCACGATATTGCGCCACTGTCCACTGAATAACTTCAGTGAGTATCTGCCTCACAACAGACCCGGTTGAACTCCACTGGTCACTGAGATCGTAGATGCATATTTCTGAAGAATCCTTTATTAGAACAAAACGGTCGTCCAGTACTTCCAGATTTTTTTATGATGGTCTAGCTTTAATCAACTCATGAATTTAATTATTAAGTTATTACAACCTCTAAAAACCCTCATTCTGATGTAGAAAAGAAAAATACGAGCATAAAACATTATTTTTTATTTGATCTAAAATTTGTTAAATCATACTCAGTACATAAAAAATGGTTATGTTCTCATCACTGAACAATCATTTGTCCCGAGAAAAAACACTCATCGTGGATAGATATCAAAAAAATATGACAGACGAACAGTGTTCGTTGACAATCTTCTTGTCTAGATTTCGAAATCAACATATTAAAGGATTTCATAGTTTAATACATCACACAGACTTTACTTAAAATTTCTTCCTCTTTTTTATCTTATCTCCTCTTTCATAATATATGCTATTCTTCTATATTATTTTAAATATTCCATAAATCGAGAAGATAATTAAGATCAGCTAAATGCAATAGTAAATTAAAGAAATTCGTTTACTCATTTTTATTCATTACTGTCCAATTAGTTAATTCTAGTCATATCAATGAAAAATTAATAAAGTTAATTATATAGGTGTATAAGAAACTCTAACCTAGGTAAACAACTTTCTAAACTACAAATAAAAAGTCAACTGTAGAAACTTATAACTTGATGAAAGCCTTAATACCTAGTACATAAATATAAACTTAATACTCTACTACTGTTATTATTATTATCAGGATGGGTTTTGTGGTGATTTTAGAAAATTCACAGATTGAAATCACGAGTCAGTTGAAGCTAGACCACCACTGAAAACCTGGAAGCACTGGACGGCCGTTTCGTCCAAGTATGGGACTCCTCAGCAGTTCGCATCCACGATCCCGCGCAACTTCGTGCATTGGTTGAAGTTAGACATTAACACCGTCGGATGCCGCCTCAGTGGTCTAGTGGTTAAGTGCTCGCGCGCGAAGCCGGTGTGTCCTGGGTTCGGGCCCCGCGTGGTGCGGGATCGTGGATGCACACTGCTGAGGAGTCCCGTACTAGGACGAAACGGCCGTCCAGTGCTTCCAGGTTTTCAGTGGTGGTCTAGCTTCAACTGACTCATGATTTCAATCTGTGAAGTTATTATTATTATTACTTCACTTACTACTACTATTAATACCCATAGAAGTAGCATATAACGGTGGTCAGGCATCGAATGTATTTCAGTAGAAGGTCAATAAGGAAAGAACGGGAACTGAACGCAATTAGTATGAAAATGAATGAACAGTAAAATCTGAGACGATGGATTGATATTTTGCAAATTAACTATTTACTATATAGTTCTCAGATTTTATCAAAGTGATCTGTAATTTCGTATTCAAATACATTCGATTGTCCCCACTTGTGTCCTTGTTCACTACACTACTACTACTACTACGACGACGATGACGTCGACTATCCGCACTACTACTACTATCTATCTATCTATCTATCTTCAC